AAATTTTTGGGACATAATTTTAAAACCCCTTTTAAACCCTTTTTAAAATGGGGTCCACTATACTCATTTTTTTCTTGCTTGGGGGTGTGGGTTTTTTTATATCTAGCCCCTGGGAACTTCCCCCACAACTTGTTAAAGCTAAACAGCAACTTGCCTTTCCCGATTTTCACATAAAATTGGCTCCAATTCAGCATTTTCCTCCCACCCTCCGGAACAGGGTTTCCACTTTAATGGCCCCAAACATCATCATCCGGGTTTCGGGTTGGGATGAGCACGTTCACTGGTCCCATCCACCTCTACGACCCAAAACCCTTATCTGAAACGAGAAAAAGCCCGAGGGGGGAGCATCACCATCCCCCCAAAACAATAGCTCCGAGATTCCAGAGTGCTTCCCCAACCCCGGGAAATACAAAGAAAGGGGTCCTCTTTATCCCAAATTGTTATTTTTGTCTATACCCCTAGGCTTGCCCTCATTTTTTTGAGGGGTTTTATGTAATTTTTTTTTATTTCCCCCTTTAGATGGAGAGTGTACAAGTTGAACACTGAGGCTCTACTTTTTGTCCCCTTTAAAAAATTTCTAAAAAAATTTTGGGGGGAATTTTTCCCCTGGGGCTTTTTGTACTCCCGTGGAAAAACCAAAATGAAAAAAGAAACTTCATCAAAACCCCTTAAAACTACCTTTTTAAAATTACTTATGTAGAGGGGGCTGCTTCCAGGAACCCGGGAGTGGAAACAAATTATTGTTAAAAATAATTTTTTTCCCATTTGGTCCTTGGGGGTGGGCCAACGAATCCCTTTCCAGTTGCTGAAGGGGTTTACCTGGTGTGGGAAAATTTGGGTGGGGGGGGGAAAGGTTTTTTTAAACTTTTATTAGGGTTTTTCTATAAATTGAAAGACATGACAAAGGGCTCAAAAGTACTCTCTGCAGTTTTCCCCCCAGCGAGACCAGAAAAATGCCTGGGAAAACCCTTTGGAAAACACCCCTTTGGGGGCAAAGCCCCTTTTTCTCCTTCCATCGATACTGCCAAACCCGAGGTGGGAATTTTTTTAAAGTTTCCTCCCTGAAATGAAAAACTTTTTTAAAATGTAAAATTTTCTTCCTCGCAAAAGCGGGCATTTCCCGCACAGAAATTAAATTTCCCCCTAGCAGGTGCAAACCTCTCTCACACTAAATTTTAAAATGATTTCCTTCTCCAATCAAAGGCTTTAGCTCGGGGTGGGAAATCCTTTTTTCAGTTTTACTGCCGTTCAACCCTCAGAAAGCAGAAATTTCCAAAATTAAGCCCCTTTACCCATCCTCATGAGAAATTTTCCCTGAAGACTGTTTTTTTAAACAAAGTCTGACCATGGGGAAACCCTCCCGGGGGAAGGTTTTTGGCCCGGGTTTTCCTAGCCAATTTTCCCCCCAACATTTTGGGACTTGGTTTCCCCCAAAAAAAAATTGTTCCTCACTGTTTTAACAGGGGGATAACATTATTCCCTTTAAAAGAGGTCGGGCCCCCTTTGAAGGGAATTTTTATCTGGGGATACCTACAGGGGGATGCCAAAATTGGTATGAGATTCTACCCATAATTTTGTGTACTGGTGTCCCTTTTGGTTGACCTGTAATACCTTCAAAATATATTCTACTCCAGTATTGGTACCTTTGACCCCTGGCAGCACTCCAGCACGTAGCAAGGAGTAGGGGCAAAATCCATCTCTCAAGGGGCACTATGTTCTAACCCTCCCCCTCCTTTATGCAAAGCAACTGTTGGGCTTACTAGAAAAAAAACCTGCATCCCGGGGTTTTTAGAATAAGGGTACCCCCTCCCTTTCTTTGAAATACAGGCAATGGAAGGTGATACAGTTAAGTCCTCTGGGGGGGGTCCCCTCCCTTTCCTGATCTCGCTGGGCCCTTTTTCCAACAAAACTTTTGTGTGTTTTCCCCGTTTTGTTACATTGTAACAGGGAAAACTCTTAAAAGGGAATTTTTTTTCCATTTTTGGTTTTGGATGGTTTCTGTTTACTGAGGGGCCTGAAAAAATTTCCCGATTGGGCTAGGGGGGGGGGGCTCCAGTGACTTACCTTTTTTTTCTATTTTGAAGGGGGCCCCAGCCTTCATTTGTCCCTGAAAATTCTTGTCCCACTTAACCCTTTTTGACCATAAGACTTGGGGAAAAAGGGTTTTGAAAGAGTGGGGAAATTTTTAGAGCAGCATGACTTTTTTACTTTCCAATTTCCCCGCGAGCCAAGAATGGTCACCCCCGATCCAGTGCTTCTGAAAGATTAAACTGGGTTTTTGTCCCCCAAAATTCTTTAGGTCAACAGGGATTGGTTTTTGTACAATTCCTCATGAACCATTAGATCTACTAATTTTTTTTTTAGTCTTTTTTTAAAATCCTTTTGAACAAACCCATTTCTTAAAAAGGAACAGTTTTCAATTCCCCAAAATCAAATTTAAAATTTTGCCCTCCTGAAATTTTTGGGTTCCCGAAAATTTTGTCTAATTTCTCAGGGATTTATTTGGTATGCAAGCAATACTTTTTCTTTTTTTCTTTTTCATAATTAGAAAAATCTTGCCCCCTCCCCCCCCCGAGTCTTACTCTCTGGGAAACCCCTTTTTAAAAAGTTGTGTTTCAAAATAGGGTAGCCCCTTTGTTTTTGGGGCCCTCCCTTTCTCCAAAAACAGTCTTCCCCCAAAAAAAGAAAAATATCTATTGGGGTCCCCTCTCTGTAAACTTAGGGACAAAAAATTTTCAGCTTTAGTTATGTTAAATACTGCTCCGGCTCTTTTTGAAACCCCCTAACCTTTTACGTTCTTTTTCCTTAGCTTTCATTAATTTTTATTTTTAGCCTTTTAGTACCTAATTTTCGTCTCATTCTCTCCATTTCCATTCACCTGGATAGGTGATTCCCCAACTTCACTATTAACAGGGTTTTTTACTGATGAATTATTACCTTCTTCCCTGAAGCCTAAAAAAATTTTGAAGACCCATCTTCTGACATAGTTTTTTTTCTTTAAACACTTGCTTCCCCCTTACAGTTTTTCCCGTGGACAAAGTTTTCCCCCCAGGCACATAAAATAAAAACAAATTGAATGTAAAAATATGCACATAGCAATTACCAAAACCACAAAAAAAATGTGTTTTTTCCAACCCTTTTCCCACCCTTTGGAGAAAAAAACCTGTTTAAATAAAATTTTGAAAAAAACACTTCCACTGACCCAAACCTTTGGAAATCTTTACCCCGAAACAAAGCAACGTTTTTTTACCCCATACCCGACATATAGTTCAAAGAATGTTTTGAGTTATTTTAGCAGTCCCAAAAAACCCCCTCCCGGTCAAGCTCCCCCTGTTTTCTTGGTTTTTCCCTTTTTCCTTTTAAGGGAAGGTTCTCACTACATGTTTTTAGTGTGGGGTAGCTTTTTCTTAATGGCCAAATTTTCTAGGGGGAAATACTTTTCATCATGGCTGATCTCTTTTAGTGTCTCTGGGTTTCCCCTTTTAAACCCGCCCCCTTTTTGGTTATGTAAACTTTCTACTATAAAAATTTTAAAAATTTTAAATTTTCAATAAAAAATATGAAAAAGAAATTACAATTCCCGCCTCCATTTTTCAAAACAAAAATCTACCCCACTCCATGCCGTGCCCACATGGTGTTTTTTGCAACAAAAATCTTGTCCCCCCCCTTTCCCGACATAAAATCTGGGTAACCAGTGTTTTTTACAAACTTTTCACCCTTGGTATGGTGGCCCAAAATTTAAAATTAAAAAAAAACTCACCCCGGGGCACCATGATGCCCCCCAAAAAATAGGAAAAAGGACCCCGAGATCCTGCCAGGGTTTTAAGGTCAGCCCAGAGAGAGAGGGGTCAGTGAGAGGGGGGAAAAGAGAGAGAGCCTGGTAAACTCCTCCCACCAAAAAAAAAAGACTGTTGCCAAGCACAAATTTCCCCCCAGTTTCCAAAAATTCTAACCCCACCTTTAATTTACTTTTAAAAAAAAGAAATACAACTTTAAAAAAAATTTATTTAAAATTTTGTTTTTTTTTGGTTTTCTATAGTAAAAACCCATTATAAATTTAGGGAAAAATAGGCTTGACCCAGCTGCCTCTCAGTCATAAGGTTGATCAGTCCTTCTGACATTTAGAGCAAAGTCCCCATCAATTCAATATAATTAGGTATTTCAGAGTAACTGTTACTTATAAATACATGTTGGGTCCTATAGCCCCATAACAGTTACCCTTGGGAACAAACCTTTCCTCTGCCTCCTTGCATTTTGTGGTTAGAAAGTCCATCATTTCGTTTACTGATTTTCCTACGAACTTCTGTTCCCACTGAACCTCCTGCAGGAAGATCCTCATTCTTGTGTAGTCACCCCTTTTATAGTTTAGCTTTTCCCTTTCTACTCCTGTTACCCTCTCCACTTTTAGCTCCACGATGTATTCAAAGCTCATAACTATGTGGTCACTAGCTTCAAGGGGCCTTTCGTATGTTATGTGCTCAATGTCTGCGCTACTCAGGGTGAACGCGAGGTCCAGTCTTGCTGGTTCATCCTCCCCTCTCTCTCTGGTAGTATTCCTAACATGTTGGTGCATGAGATTTGCCAGCACCACATCCATCATCTTGGCTCTCCATGTTTCGGGACCCCCATGTGGCTCCAGGTTTTCCCAATCAATCTCCCTGTGGTTGAAGTCGCCCATGACCAGTAACTTCGCTCTACTTGAATGAGCCCTTCTTGCCACCTCAACTAGAGTGTCCACCATTCCTCTGTTGCACTCATCATATTCCTCTCTTGGCCTCCTGCAGTTCTGTGGTGGGTTATACATCACTGCAGTGATTATGTATGAGTGATGGTGAAATTGTTGAACAATGATGAAATTTTTTTTTTTTTTTTCTTTTTGTGGTCACCTTGCCTTGGTGGGAAATGGCTGATACGTTAAAAAAACAATCATATCAGTATTTATTGAAATTATAGTTTGTTCAAGTTTAATAAAGTTTCATTTAATTTTATTTGTCAGAACTCTGATGGGGTCAGGACTAGGTGTGGCACTAACAAAAGATGGAAACCCATTGGCCTTGCACTTTGTTATGTTTCTGCCAGCAATCATGGGTCAGGGTACAGTTGAGCAACAAGCACTTTGGATGGGCCGTGCATGGGCAGGACAGATCATTGGCACATATGCCCAGGTAAGTTTTTTGCCTTCATTTTTTAATAAGTAAAATATAATTTATTTAAAAAGATATAACCAGTGCCTTTTATCTATTAAGAAACTTATGAAGACTTAAATCATGCTGTCTTCTATAATTTTTTAGTGTTACAACCTAAGATGGGTCACTGTATTCGGAAATTTAATTAACGCAATAAAAACCAGTGAGAATTATTGAAAAAACAACCTGGAAAGGTATGATATACTGACACAGTGTATTGATAGACACACATACACAATTACAAACATTTATGAGGAATGTATTGCCACAAGTACATAGTACCCTAAAAATGGAGTGTAGTATATATGGTGCAGGAGGCTGGCGTCAAATTGTGATTGAGTAGAGGTAATAGAGAAGTAGGTAACAGTTAAGGAGTGATGGGTCAAATTTGAGAATGGAAAGGCACAAGTGATGACCTAACCTTCTCAAACCCTGTAGGTAATGCTCTGTGGTCATTCACATTCTAGAAAGTACAGTGGACCTCAAGTTACGAACTTAATTTCGTTCCAGAAGCTGTTATGAGTAACCCAGGACCGAATGAATTGATCCATATGGAGAATATGTCCAGTTAATTAGTTCAGTTTCAGAGCCCACAAAAATACACTTCAAAAAGCACATAAAAAATACACTTACAAATTGTTTGAGTTTGGGAGCTGTTATAAACTTGAGGTACAGTGGACCGCTCGGTAATCAGCCAAATCCGAACCAGAAGGTCAGCCTAAAAACCGAAAAAGGCAGAAAAACTGAAATAATATTTCCCATGAGAAATTAATGATAAATCCAATTAACCCTTCAGTCATCCATGAAATATTAGCAAAAATACTTTTTTAACCCTTAGACTGTTGCCACCAACCCCAAACCTGATGTTTCCTGGTGTTTAAAAATTAAAAAAAAAAAAAAAAAAAATTCTTGTGAAATGGTAGAGAATCTTTTCACGGTGGTAACAATGCCAAAAGAACGAAATTTGATGGGAAACTGACGAAATTATGCTCTCACGAAGTTAGGAACCTCAGCAATAATTTATGACTCGCGATTTTTGTCCACATTAGCCCAGTGTTTTTTGGGCTAATTCCAATTGTTTCCAGTCGACCAGTCTCATAGCTATATTTTTAGAACTCCATTTGTTCTGTCGATTGAGTACAAGAAACTGCCCATTTACCGATTTCAACTACCCAATAACGTGGTCAGAATTTTGCAACTTGGCCAATTTCACCACGAATAATTAAAAAATATGCCATTTCAAAATAGGTCCAGAATGAACAGCAAGCCTTTCCTGGTATCTAAAATAAACATTTTCTTTGTTAATCATCATGTCTCCAGCCCCTCTGATATTACTCTGCTTCTAATTTGAATTTTTAATCAAACAAATATAGAAGATATACTGTATATTCAGGACTACCTGCAATAATTGTAATAATTGTATAAAAAATGTCAACCCATTCATGACTGCATATTAGAATGGCTAGTTGGACATTTATTGGATATTGACATCATTGTTTTTACTTTTGAACATCGCAAAAATCAAACATTCCCCTACTTTGCGCTCCATTTCAAGGTCCTTTTTTTACAGTAAAATCAAAATCAAAATCACCTCTAATTCTATAATATGTTTTCCATTCGTAATCAAATGAGACCAAGAAAAGGAAATTGTGAAGGCTTACTCATCCCTTATAAACAACTTCAGTCAGTATTACCAAGGCTGGCTCCTCCTCAGGAAAAATTAATTAATAGAAAAAGAAATAATAACAGGCAATGATAAACACTTTATTATTTAAGAAATGAAAATGTAAAACAAAAAAACATGAATGGGTATCCTAATTGAAAGAAAAATGAAAATGAAATGCAAAGTACATTTGAAACTCAATGCTAATATAGGTATAATCGAGGTAATGGGGTGTCAGGGTTGGTGACACTGCATGTTGTTGAAATCGTAGCCTTTGCTGATGTGGGGGGGGGTAGCAGGTGGTGTTGACCACCACGCATCTCGATCTGCACAGAGTGTAGCCATGTATAATAACTTAAGATGAACAGGAAAACAGTTCGTTACCACTGCAATCGAGATGGGTTTAGGTCCTGTGCTCTGGCTTACATAACAAGGTAAGTAGATTAAAACAAGGGACGTCTTCAGGACTTAGTCCGTCATCCTTCTGTCTTCTCGTGGTTGGCATGGACCCTCTGGTCATTCCAAGCTGTAAAGAGAGACAGATTACCCACATGCTTAAGAAATCACTCACATGATAAGGACAATACCTAAAAGATGTGGTGATTATAAAGACATTTAACAAGATAAATGACCTGAAAGGACTAATAATTATTGTCAAAAATGAAGCTGTTCACCAATAAGGTCCCACTGAAATATGATCCGGGGCGAGTACTTACAGTAGTGTTGGGAGCTGTGATCGAGTGAATTACTGATTTGACCGAGCCCCACCTGTCCCCTTTGCGGGGTGGGGGAGGAGGGAGGGGGAAGGGATAACGGGAGCTAGACTGGACCTACCTTAACTAAGCAGGAGCCGGCAATCAAACTAACACATTCGGGGAGGGAAAAAAAGAAAGGGGGGGGGGCATAGCGGGGAGCTGGACTTACCTACCTTAACAAGTAGCCGGCAATTGATAACTATTGTTACAATAACACTCCCTCCCCCCCCCCCCGCTACTCCTATCTATTAACATTTCCCTCACACTCCCCATACCAAGACTTATAGTCAAGGAGAATACGAAAATAGGCGAGGAAAAAGTCTAACATGTGGAAGACCCGCGTAAGGCAACTCACGCTTCAAAACTTACTGTCACGATTAAACCAGTCAGAGAAATAATTGGATGAACCATTTGATAAACACAATATGGAACTTAAAAGCCTGGATGCCAATGTCCACCTTCAAGAGGTGAACTGTAGGATGTCCCTACAAAGTTTTTAGTATATCAAAGGTTTGGTTGTCCGTTTCTAAAATAATTCTTTTCCCAGCCAACATTCATTTTTCTAAGGTGGAGTATGTCTCGTTTCAGCGGGAATGAGTTTCCGGCTTAGGACGCAATACAGGAGTGAGTACCATCGTGGTATTGTAGTAGCAACTGCAACCTAAGCCAGTATTGAGGCATCAGTTCTTAAAATGTTTTATTAATATCTGGAATCTTACAGTATAGGGTCTTTTGAAAAGAACTTTTACAATCTCATTACACTTTTCCCGAGCACGTCGGAAGTTCAAAGAGGTTCCTTCACAGACTTTTTTAAGGAAGTCGGAATAAGATGCCTGTAAGATCAGTAAGTTCGGGATAAACCGTGCATAAAAATTTACAAACCATGAAAGCTATCATTACTTCTTGAGTTTTGGGAATTTAAATTCTAATAAAGCCTTCGATCTTACTGGGGAGAGGCTGCAGAGAGTTATTAAAAGTATCAGTTCCAAGATATCTAATCTTGTTTATACCCAAGAAGCATTTCTTCTTCGCTTGGCAGTGGGCCAAGTGAGCGTAACCTACTCAAAACTGATGTTAATGTTTGATAAGTCGCACCCACGAGGATGTCATTTATGTATATGTTATCAAAATATAAAACTGAAACATTTGGCATATTACCCACGAAACCATTCTCTCAATCAGTCTCACGTAGGTAGCCAGGCAGTTACCACACCGAAGGGCATAGTTTCTATACGCTGTCAGTCCTTGGTAGGTTAGGAATAAGTGAGGTGACTCTTAGAAGAAGGATCTAACATTACTTGATGATAGGCCTGCCGCAAATAACTATCTCTGAAACGAAGGAATCGCCATAAAATTTGTGTAGATCGCTTCTTTACAGGGAATAGGCTCAGCAACCACCGAGTATATGCATTAAGGCCTCGCTGAAGTCAATAGCAGAGTCACTATGGAATTTATCCTCCGTCCTAACCCATGACTACGGTTAGCAATATGCAGATACTGAAGGTTCAATGATCTGTAGTTTATTAATAATTTTGTCTACCTCTTGGTCAAATGCATCCCTAATGCGTACCTGGAACTGGTATAATTTCCGGTTTGATCATTGGTCCGTCAATTAAGGTCAAATCTATCATGAACTATGGTGGAGGTAACACCAGGAATAATCAGTAAAAGACGTCTGAAAAGTTACTCACACATTGAGAGTATTCTTGACTCTTATGGTCTCCATAAGATTCATTAAGAATAATGTTGGTTGCGCCCGAGTGGACAAGATCCACCAAGTCATGTAGCTCTATCAACATACTCTAAGTTAAGTGTCAATTACGCACGACCTTTACATTTCTTCAGATTTCTTAATCAAGTTCGTGTGAAAAACTAAGTCAAATTTATTAAGGCAGTTAACCGAATTTCTTCCGTGATAAATATTTTCTTAAGATGATGATATGATAAAGCTTAGTTTCCTCCTTGACTTCTATGAGGTAGTCAACTTTTCTCACAAATTTTAAATACTTTATATGGACCTTTCCATGCTACTAATTTTTATTATGACTTGATAGGCAAAAGTACGCAGAACTTCATCCCCTACTTTAAAAACATCTCCTCTGACTTTTTGAATCAAAATAGTTTGTACAGGTCCATGACAAGCTTAGGTTTATTTTCGAAACTGTCAAGGTCTCCCCTCAAGTTTGGATCTAAGGTCAAGGAGAAACTGTAAGAAAGAGACTGAACCTCTAGCATCTTACCTCCTCATAGTCTTAAGTCAAATGAAGGATGGACAATGAGACCCCTGGCTGTCTACCATGAGAAGTTCAAAAGGTGAAAACCCCAAAGAGGTACACTGAGGGAACCTCCCTCATGGCAAACAAAGCACTGATATGTAACAATGCACTCCGTAGTTTATAAGGGAGGAAACAGACGTTTCCTTAAAATGACTTGATAATCCGTGAATGCTGGCGCTCATTCCTCCCATTACAGCTGGGAAGATAGGTGTGTGGGAGAGAGGCTCACTCCCAGAAGTTGTAGAGATGTTGCATTTTTTTTTAATCAATGGTGAAATTTGTCCC